AGAAATCCAGCCATTTTTTTTGAGTGTACTGAAATATGTTTAAGGATCTTGTGGTTATGCTTAACACAGAACACTTCACAGAACTATATATTATACCACAAAATTGTTCTTAACATGCTAATTTAAAACATATTTTCTTTAGATTAGTTCATAAAGAGAGAGGAAAGAAGATATTTAGCTCCAGACAGCACTTGCAATAGAAATCAGTTATTTCTGTACAGTATCTTTCCTTTGAAATATCACTAAATGATTTCCAGAGAGAGGAAGATTGTAATTTAATGATCACTTGCACAGCTCAAAAACCTTTCATCAGAGCATCTCAAAGCATTTCAGACAAGCCTGAAAGCTTGTCTGTTTTTCCCCAACTATTTCAGTTGGCCTAATAAAAGATACTGTGTCTTCCTACACACCTTGTATTGTTTAGCACTCAAAGCATTATCATACTTGTTTTACAGATAACTGAGGGGCACAAAGAATCCATGTAGTTTTATTTCTGCAGTGAATCTGAGATGAACTCTGTGGGGTCCCATTTTCACTGTGTCTCCTGGACTTGCAGAATACATGTTCTCAGATTACAAGCAGACATGGAGCGAAATCTTCATCCCACTGACATCAGTGGCAAAATTCCCATTGATCTGAATAAGGCTGAAATTGTGTCCTAGCTTTTCTAGCTGCTGCCTGCCAAAATCGACTTCAGACCTGTGCATCCTTCCTGTCTTCTGCATCACCATTAGTAATGAAGGTTCTGCGGTCCACCCGTGTCTGCCATTTCGCTCTCAGTAAATGATCAAGGCAAATATAAATGAGGAATGAGAGACCCCAGCAACAGGAGGAGGTCTGCACAGTGAGTGTGTGGTGTGTGGTTAGCAATCTCCCTGCAGTTACTGCAGATTGATGCATCTGCCTGCATCCACTCTGTGCTGACAAAAGGAGCCATACACGAAGAGCCATTTGGATCATCTGTCCTTGCTCATGAGTGTCCCAGGTTGCAAGTGTGCAACCAGAGACACCACCACAAAGACTATGTCAAGTCTCTGCTATCATGTCTGACCTTTTTAATTAAAGGACAGTCTAACCATTTTGAGACAATCTAGCAGTCTCTTCCAGCTTCATTTTTGCTTAGTTAACACTGTGGATTTGGGCACACAGCACCAGATGCACCCAAAGAAATTAGAGTCTTAAAAGAATGATCAATAAGTCTTTTTACTGTAATGTCCATGGAGTATGCACTTTCATCAGAAGCCATATTGTACCACAGAAATATAAGCAGTTTAAAATACAGATTACAGAAAAGGAACACAAAGGGAGAAAATGCCATGTATGGATGTCTGCTTCTGCTGTTGAGGATAGCTGAATATGGTGCTGATGAGAGAAAGAGTATGTGTTCATTCTCACTCCCTGTATTGTCCATTTGTCCCTTGCTGCACGGGTCTTCTCAAGCTTGATGGGGGTGCAGCCATCCAGCTTTAGTATATTCTCGCTTATTTTCTAGCAAAATGCTTACTAAGTCCTCTCACTGTTGTGCTAGACTGAGAACAGAAAGCTTTCGCACATCTGGCATTTGTTATATTCAGCTGCTTTTCCTCTTTCATAGGTATTTCAGGCGACGGATAAGCTAGAGGAAAGTTGCTGTGTTTTTCATACCACCATTTTCAGTTTGAAGGTAAAGAACACCAAACAGACGAGGCCTGAGAGTAACTTCTAGGCTCACAGAAACATTCTCATGTCTTTTTGGCTAAATTAAATGTTGGTCTTTCTATGTACATCTTGTATTACAAGCCACTTGCAAATCTGTATATTTGATCATTCTCTCATTGTGTTGGAAAACAATATGAGGGAGTTTCTTTCTATACTAGATCTTTGTGGGTAACTTGCTAGTAAACTAATTTTACATGACTCAGATTTAAATAATAAAAAGGCTTAACTTCAGTCTGAGAAGAGTTTATTGTCTACAACTGTAGCCTAGAGACAAACTCCAGCACCTTTGGGACTCAGCTGAGGCAGCAATTAGGCAGCATTTTATTGTGATGCAGTGAGTGCGCAAAAGATGAAGCTGGACTACTCTCAAGAGCTTAGAAACAAAATTGGCTTCCTGGAGAGAGAACATAAGAAATCTGGCAACGTAAAAATATTTAAAGAGCTTAGGGCTCCCAGGGGAGAATTTCAAGCTATTGAAGTGGAAAAGACTGAGCATTTGCTAAGATTGAAAAAAAAAAAGGAGGGGGGGGTCACATGAAAAATGACAAAGTGGGTTTTTTTACTGTAGCATGTTTCAAAGGGGAAAATATAATAAACCTGAAATCAATCAGTAGCACAGACTTCAATGCAGTGTTCCAAATCAAACAGCCCTGTCTTGAAAACAGGAGTCAAAAGAGAATTTTTTTTTCATTTCAGAATTGTAAGGGATTGAGGCCAAGAAACCATTAAATGAGGTGAAAGGTCTAGGCTAGAGGGCATCTTGAGCAAGTCTAATGAAGTCATGGTTGCTTCAGCAGCCACGTTCCCAAAGGGTTTTGCTGTGTCTGTCACTGTCTCTCTGTTCCTCTGCGTCTGGCTCCCTGGCCTCTGCAGTTACGTGCCAGAGTGTGCCCCACCAGGCACCCTACGAAGCTCCGTTCTAGCAGCCCCATAATATGTAACATCCCTGTGTCAAAACTAAGTTGTACAAAATGGGATTGATCTCGCCCATCATTCGGTGTGTGTCGTACAGGCATTTACCTGTGAGCTACTCGTGCTTGACTCCATATATTGTCAGCAGGGAGAAGCAGGAGCTCATGAGACACAATTTAGCTCAACTGAGCGTAAATTTCTATCATATGCCAAAAGTGTCTATTTCTCTCTGACTTAAAATGGCATCCTAGGGTGACTAACTCCCAAATGGACACCTACCATTTAAGCATCTACATTCGTTCAATGAACCCTACCCACATAACTGGCATTGCCTGAGTGCACACTACGTATCAGAGATTTCTCTGCTGTGTTCAGGCCCTGCCTTCACACAACGTGTATCTAGGACTAAGACGAATTGGCTGGAACAGTTTAGCTCATGTCCCAACAGTAATAAGAGGGCTAGAGGGTGCAGAGTGTTTACCTTATTGTAAGGTAAACACTTCTTGCCACCGTTCCTTTGCATTATGCTGACAGCCCTGTCTACGTCACTGCTCCAGCCAGGTTTTGGGGCTGAGGGGCAGCTGCTGGTAAGGAGGGAGGGGATGGATGGGGGACACTGCAGAATGGAAATGAAGGAGGCTGGTGGAGGGAAGGAAGCAACATGAGGAAGGGACAGGATGCTTTATATGCAAAGTAATAGCCCAGTCTGTCTCTCAGGCATCCCCAGGGCAGTGCAGGCTGCAGTCCTGAGCTCTGCATGTGTAAGGCAGTTGAGGGATAGATCACCCACGATCTCCACCTGGGTCCTGGATCAAGAGCACCTGGGGCTGAACTGCGGGTAGAGGGAGCATGCTGCATGTTATGGCCATGAAATGAACCCTGCCACACACATCCTAACTGCATCTGGTATTACTGCCCTGCCTCAGCCACCTACTCACATGATTTCATATGTCAGAGGCAAACTCGTCAAATGACAAAAGAAACCCCAAGACATCTCTGAAGGATTCTGTCACGGGTGACAGTGGGTCTGTCAGCATCTTGGCACATACTGACGAAGCAATAGATGTTGACCAGATCAAAGTATACCCCTGAGATGGACTGAAAAGAGAGGACTGAAAATGGAGGCCCTGATCCTGACAACATACTGATGCATCCTGAAGAAGCTGTCTTGTGGGAACAGAGAACACTGTCTCATGAGAACAAGGACCTGTTTTGAACGAGAGTGGTTGGGAAGAACATCAACATGAGAGAAAAATAAGAGCAGGTGCTCGGGACTGTTGTGGGAAAGAACTGGGCTGTTTTGAGAAAGAGCAAACTTGTTGTGAGAAAGTAGAGTTTAGAAAATGCACCTATTAGCTGTAAGAATTCTGTTGTGAAAGTTTGAACTGTCCTATCCGTGTGTATTATGTGTGTTCAAAAACTGTACTTAAGGGGCTGCGCAGCAGCCCCAGGTGGCTGTCCCTGCTTTTTCCTTGGAATAAACTTTGCTGGAACCTTTTTTCATGTCGCTTTGGCCGTTCCGACATTATCAGCGACAGGATTCCCGCCCTAAGGGTATAGCCAAGTGACTTATCAGAAAGGAAAGTCTTGCTCTGCTCTTCTGTACCTGAGAAAACTTCATCTGTACAAACTTTTGATGTCTCTGTTGACTGACTAAACTAGTAGGCATAACTAGTCACTGATTTTTAAATAGTCCCCTGAGGATTACCCATTCTGTGCTGAAGGTACTCAATTCCTTCTCATAGTCCCAAGGCGTTCCTTTCATGTATTTAATGTCATAAGCTTTCCATGTGGTTGTTGTGTTGCTAGTTTGGAAGTTTTATGATCTGTGGCTGCAATTTGCAGAACTGATAAGGTTTGTTGTTCTTATCAATGATGCATCAGTCTAAAGGCCTGGTGTGAGTGAGCTGCCCAGTGTAGAAGGCTTTGTTGAGCCCTACACACAGCACTGTACATATTGTAAAACCATCCTGCTTACCCTGCTCTTGATTGTTGGTAAATTTCCCAGATTTCATCTATTTTGTTTGTCAGAAATTAGGATTACAATAAACAGCAGGGAAAAGGACAGCATTATCTTCTTTGAAATGCACCACTGTAGCAGCAAATTTCTGGACGCACCATTCATAGACCAGAAAGCAAAGCACTGGCTGCTGTGCAAATATAACAGCAAACACAGCGTTCCCTGGAGAGGCTGAGCTGTAATGTGCAGAGACAATATGGGGCAGTTCTGGATAAGCAGAGGACATGCGTATCTCAGTGTGCTGCAGACAGCTGTGGCTCTGGTATTGCATAGTGCAAGGCCAGATACATATTTAATGCATTTCCTGCTTCATCATTGTCTGCTAGGAACATAATACACTTTTTCTATATGTCCAGAAGACCTAGAGAGGGGGAATCAGACCCTGTGCCCAGGACCTGGGTGGAAGTGCTCCATGATCACTGCTGTGTCAGTGATAAGTATCAATGTACACTGCATGGCACCCCACAATGCTGAAGAGGAGACAGTGCTGAGGACCTGCCCAAATACACCTATCCCAGACCTGACCTGCTTTGTGCTGGAGATCCTGTCACTTTGCTGAAGTGATGCAGAGGACAAAAAACGTGATGGAGGTCAAGTTCAGCAATACGTAGCAATGCACAGCCTGGACTATGAAGGGAGGTGAGTATACCTTAAACGAGTTTTGTTGCTGACAGCGGCAATCTGCAGCCTCTGTCTCAGGACCTTACAGTAGGAATTCAGAGGCTGTACCCTTCTACAGTACACCCTTTGTTACTGGATGAGCATTCACAGAGAAAGCACATTTTGCAGCAAGACTTGAAAGAAGCAGGTATAATCCATTGTCATATTACTAGGTGACAAAAAAATAAATGCTTTTATGCCTACCAAGATGTGACTAGCTCATCAGTTATGTAATCCACTTGTTCATGCTGTTGTCATGATCAAAAGACCTTACACAGATTCTAGGCCCTTGGAAGCTCTAAAGGTCTGGACTGCATTGGACTAACATGATGTATACCTAATAGAAAGGTTGGAGAATCTTCTATGAACTCTTCTTGTGGCCATAATATGCTGTTCTTAGATTAGCTCAAATCTGCAATATGCAGTGATTTAAAAACAAGCAGACTCTTTTGAAAGGCTTTTTTTAACTTCATGGTTGCATATTTAATAAACAGTTCACCCAAAACACAGCTTATTTTATAGTAGAGTTGTGGTAGGGGATCAGATGTGTAAAGTGTCAGATCAGAACAGATTAGTTTAGGACACACATCACACTCTTTAGAAACACCCGTAGCACTTTGTACTCTTATTGAGATGTGCTGTATCATCTCAGAGTGTTCTACAAACAAGTAGTTGTGCCTCTGCCATAAGAGGTATCAGTATTACTCCCATTACGGATAGGAAAAGGGAAAACAAAAGGGACATGGATTTGTCTCTTGTCAGTGGCCAAGCTGGAATTGGATTCACTTGTCCTGATTTTTTGCTCTAAGCACCAGCATTGTTTCTCAGGTGTTATCTTACTGATGAACAGTGAGGCAGGAAGCAGAGTAAAGCCTTATGAGGCAAATGTTCATCTCAAAGTAGATTAATACTAATGGATCTTGAGTAGCTGCTTGGAAATTACTACAGGTTGACACCTCGATAATATCAGAAAGATCAAGATCATTTTGGTGAGGAAAGAGGTCCTCAGGGCAAAACTCACACAAACTAAAACCAGACTACAGGTGAAGGACTAACTTCTGATTACAGTTTCTGTTTATTTGTTCTTTGTGGTATAACTGAGTTTGATAAATGGCGTTACTTTCCTTGGTTTACAGTTATTTTATTTTGTACTTGGAAATCCCAGCTCAAGGAACCTGTTGTTCGCTAGGTGCTCTGAACACACAGTTTATGGCCCAGGGCCCTGTGACCTTCCTGAGCAGCAGGGGAAATAAAGCTAGGCAAGAAGATGGCAGAGGCAAGGAGACTTGCCTCAAGATGCAGAAATGAGATGGCACTGCATGAAACACAGCCAGGGCTCTGGATCCTCACATGCCATCTGTGTCACTGTAGACACTGACTCACTTTTAGAATTACAGGTTCTAGGATGTGGAGCAGAAGGTTAAGAAACCAAATAAGATCCCTTCCCAGGCAGAGAAGAGCCCAGATGAAGTCCTTTGAGTGCTGTTCTGGTGGGGAATGCTTTTTTAGCTTCTGTCATGTGCATGAGCGACTTCCTTGCAACGTCCCTCTCTGCCGGTCTTCTCATCCTCTGCTACCCTCACTCTTGGGCAGAGGCCAATGCTGTCTGGACATGCATTGTGGCAATGAGCTTCTCTCTTGGATGGAGGACTGCATGCTGCCTTTGGAGAAAGAGAGGGCCATGATTATTGCCCCCGGGGAAAACTGGAATAGCTATTTACCCACAGCAAGAAAATGTTATTTTGGGGGCAAAAGGGAGCTGTAATGTTTTCCTGTTACAGTAGTTGGCAGCATTTCTCTATAGCCCAAACTGTTGTTTCTTAATGGGATCTTTACTCATAGCTGTAAGTTTACTAGAGGGAGAAACATATATGAACAATTCTGGAATTCAAACACAATATACTGACAGACAGGTTTAAACCTTGGTAGCCTATTGGGACCAAGTGAAGAAATAGCTGAGTGGGACCCAGGACCAGGAGACTGAGCTGAGGGGATATTGGTGTTGCAAAGAATTGTTGCATGTACAGTGATTTTCAAAGCATAGGCTATTTGAAATATATACAGTAAGGACTCACAGCTTTTTGTGGGTTCCTTCAGATATTTTGACTTACTAAATTTTAGTGAGGCATGGGGAAATGGTTAGCTAAGACAACTGCACTTGGAGGCTGGGGTAGCTGAGTGAGCTGATCTAAGAAATCAAGGTTCATTTCATAGAAATACGTAAGAAAGTTGGGTAGCAACTCGGCTCTCCTTCAGAACTGATTATAAACCATCCCAATGACCCTGGTTTTCCTCTCCCATTATCGTCTTAAACCTCCTTTGCTTCAGGGGAGGGTTAGTGGAGAGGCTGCTGAGGCTTAACCCTGGCAGAACTTGTCTTACCATGTAGCTTCATTTTACAGGGGCCACACACTGACTCACAAGAGAAAAATGAGCTCTTGCTTCAGGGAATGCCGGGGGGCCTCTTGTTCAGGTGGTTGCCAGTGTTTGCCTGATTTCCCTAGTCAGTTGTGAGCACTAGATCCTTTTCTGCATATCTTGCCACACACCTGCAGCACTGGCACTTCATGAGATGCTCTCCCCCAAGCCAGGCACCTACCAAATACACTTTGCCATCAGGACCAGCCATCAGCCATAAACGACAAAGGAAGACACTTGATTTTGGACATAATTTTGTTCCTTGGAGAGAGTGTTGCTCAGCGTTGTGGCACTGGTGGCTGAGACAGCCAGGGTATAAGCTGCTGTTGTAACTATAGCCTTGGTGTAGCAGGTGTTAAGTCTCGTGCTTGTGTTGCACTGAATACATTTGTGGGTTGGGTGCATAGCTAGATGGTAAAACAGTAAACACCTCAGGCCTAAATACCACAGGAAAACCCCTCACTTACATGTGTATCAGATGTGTTTTCCTCATGGCACCATTCTTTAACAGATGGTTTTGAAACACCTTTTCTCTGTGTTCAAAGGAGCAGAGGAATGTTTGCATCCCTTCCTAAGGCAGTGGCCTGCCCCGACCTCCCACAGTATTTGGGGCAGTTTGCCGGGCACTGCAGAAGCCCACTGTGGTGCATAGCCCTCTGGCTCCTGCTGGCTCAGCCCACGCTGCTGGCAGAAAGGCCAGTCTTACACTTTCCAGCTTGAAACCCCTGACCATCTCCTTGTGCCAGCCCCAGTGCCCACCCAACCATTTGACCAGCCAGTTCAGCAAACCTAATCCCACCAAAAGGGAAAAAAACCAGGAGGGGAGGATTGTATCGAGACTAACCAACCCCTGCTGCCACAGACCCTACAGCCAAAGGACCACAAGAGTTACCAGAGGGGGAGAGCTGCCTTTTGGCAGGAGCCCAGCTGTAGGTCAGCTTAGGCCAGTGTGAAACCACACAGCCCCCAAGGAGCAGAGAGAGCCAATGTGCTCACCAACAAACCTCGCCATGGCGAGCTTCACTGTTGGTGTTTGTGTTAGGGAGCCTGTAACCTCCTTAATGGATCCAGCTACTTCTGCAATTCATGTCTGAGACCTGGAAGATTTAATGCCTGCAAATGCCCGAATGCCCGGCAAGGGTGATTTTGCATTATCCCAGGAGAGGAAGTGCCTCAGGGCAGAGCTCAGTCTTGTTCTTTTGCGAAGTGAGAGGCATAAATAGTTAATAGAAGAACAAAAGAGGACAGCTAAGCCACGGTATACACCAGGGAAAGTGAGAGCACAAATTAACCTTATGACTTGCCTTTTGAAGAACCACATGAAGTTTTGGATGTTTTTCCAGCAGTGTTGCAGCAGTAATGGTGTGAGGCTATACGCATGGCAGAATTTATAGGAAGAGATAAGGTCTTTTACTAGACCAGCTGTCCACATTGTAGAAAGCAGACACATAAGCTCTTCTTTAGGTGTTTTTTAGATTTGAAGATCTTGGGTCTCTGAAAGCATATTTTGTCTAGGAAATAGATTGGTCTAATAAACCTCTTTTCCTCCAGTCTTGCCCCACTGCTGATTTAAGGGCACTCTTCAGGCAAAAGTTTCAGCTTTTTGAAAATGAAGCTGTTTTCAGGACATCCTATTCCTCATGCTGGAAGTTCAGTTCTCACCCTTGAAATGTTAACTCGTAGACCCACGTTGTTAAAAGGCACATCAGAGGCAGGAGAGCAGTGCAGCCAGTTGCACAGGGAATTAATTCTTCTCCCTTCTCTCCCCCCTGCCAGGCACGGCCACACGCCATCTAGTGAAGTAACAAAGAATGCTGCCAGACATATCGTGCACATGTAGGCTACATTTATCGTATTAAACCGTGAAACAATGCCTACTGGAGAGAGCAGGCTTTTTTTTTCAAACTCAAGTTACTTGTTTTAAGATAGGTACCCTAAGGAAAGGGCCTTTCCCAGCCTTTGCTGTTACATAAACTGAGGTACTTATCAACCACACCTGTGATGGGATTCATATGAGCAAAAGACAAAATTTACAGAAAAATTGCTTAATACGTGTTCAGTAACCTTGAAGGGGCCTGTAAGGTAGCTGTTGGCTAAAATACTTCCTGGCTTAAAGGCAGATGCTGTTTAATCACTGTAACTGCGGCACAGAGTGAACTGGACTCCTTACCCCTTGAAAGCCAGATTCCTCCCATTGGTGCAGCTGCAGCCTTCGCTGAGGAGCTGAGGAATCCCTGTGTCCTTCCTGCTTCGAGCTGTCAAGCTGTAACTGCAGCCAGTGCTACAGGAAGCAGTGCTGAGCACACACCCTCCCTTTGTGCTTTAGGAACCTTACAAAGGCAGCAAACACTTGTCTTTTGTCAGTGATTAAAGCACAAAGCATGAGATACAGAAGATTTATAGGTTTAACACCCCTGTACTGCATGCTTGCATTTATCCTCTCTTAGATCCCATTTACTTTAATAGGGAAGTTTCTGCTAAAACCCAGCATGATGTTTAAAATATTTACCCCATAGAGGGCAGATAATCTGAGAAGTAACAAGGTGCCATTTCCTACCAAA